CTCCTGCCTCAGCCTCCTGAGTAGCTGGGTTACAGGCATGCGCCACCACACCCGGCTAATTTTATATTTTTAGCAGAGATGGGGCTTCTCCATGTTGGTCAGGCTGGTCTAGAACTCCCAAACTCAGGTGATCCGCCCACCCTGGCCTCCCAAAGTGCTGCGATTATAGGCGTGAGCCACCACACCTGGCCCAAAACTACTATTCTTTATACTGCGATGCTTTGGTATATAGGTAAGACCTTGTCCCTCTCATTAACAATGATTTATTGCACCAGTGTCAGCTCCTTCAAATTTGTCAGCCTGTATGATTTTTCCTATTTAGTGCAGTTATAGGTCAAATATCCATTTCTACACCATCTTTGTTCCCACTACTGTTAAAGCAAATATTGCATTCTGACAAAATATACCAGTGCCAAAGGACTCATAAGGCAGCCATGGGATATAATGATCACCTCTACTTTGTTTTACATACTTTCCTCTTTCTCTGTCATCTCTGGGATAAACAGTCCCCAGAATAGGAAACTCCTCAGATGAATCTGAATAATTCCCTTGTAAACAAATTATTTTGACAGAAAAGCACATACACAATCCCTCACCCTGATGCTGTTCTCCCCTTCTCTGTATAAACCAAGATGCTCCTTGTCTTCAAATGCCAACTAATCACCTGTTTCACAGAACCATTCATAGAGAATCCAATGCCACCACTCTGCTTACTCCACTGAGTGATTACTTTATATCTCATTTCCCAGGGTTGTTTAGTATACCTGGCTTTACACCTTCTCTGAATATATTTGCATCTTTGGCTCATGTTTTCTCTCCTTCACTACATTGTTCATGCTTCAATATTAGATACAAGATTGCCTGGGTGCAGTGGCTCATGCCTGTAATCCCCGCACTTTGGGAGGCCAAGGCGTGTGGATCCCAAGGTCAGGAGATTGAGACCAACCTGGCTAACACAGTGAAACCTCATCTCTACTAAAAATACAAAAAATTAGCTGGGCGTGGTGGCACATGCCTGTAGTCACAGCTGCTTGGGAGGCCGAGGCAAAAGAATCACTTGAACCTGGGAGGCAGAAGTTGCAGTGAGTCCAGATTGCGCCACTGCACTTCAGCCTGGGAGACAGAGTGATACTCTGTCTCAAAAAAAAAAAAAAAAAAAGAAAAAGAAAAAATTAGACATAAGGTGTTGTTCCAACCTGGGATGGACTACTATCTGCCTGCAGTCCTGTGAATTCAAATGAAACATTTTAATTTTTTTCCTAGTTCCAAAATCTCATTCAAACCTATCCCCTTCCTTCTAACTCCCCAGAATCAAGGTCCTAGTTCAGGCTTTCTTTCTTTCTTACCTGATGACTGTAATAATCTTCTAATTATTTACCTAGCCTTAGGTCTCTGACCTCTGACAATCTGTCTTTGATTCTTTCCCAGTTATCTTTCTAAAACAAAGTTCTGATGGTGTCACTCTCTAGTCTAAAAGCCTTCCATGGCTCCCACTGACTACAACATTAAATCCCTTTGGTATTCAAGGATTTACAACCTAATCCTATCCTCCCTTTGTAATCCCATTTCCAATCACCCTTGCTACTCTATGTTACAAGTGATTGGTTTTTTTTTTTTTTTTCATTTTTAAATTTTTACTGTTTAATTGAGATAAGGTCTCCCTCCACTGTTTAGGCTGGAGTGCAGCGGTACAATTGTAGCTCACTGTAACCTCTAACTCCTGGACTCAAGCAATCCTCCCATCTCAGCCTTAAAGAGTAGCTAGGGCTACAGGCATGTGTCATCACACTCAGCTAATTTTTTTTTTTTGAGACATAGTCTCGCTCTATTGCCCAGGCTGGAACACAGTGGCATAATCTCAGCTCACTGCAACCGGCGCCTCCCAGGTTCATGAAATACTCCTGCCTCAGCCTCCCAAGTAGCTGGGATTACAGGTGCCTGCCACCATACCTGGCTAATCTTTGTATTTTTAGTAGAGATGGCATTTTACCATGTTGGCCAGGCTGGTCTCGAACTCCTGACCTCAAGTGATCTGCCCACCTTCACCTTCCAAAGTGCTGGGATTACAGGTATGAGCCACCGTGCCATGCCCCAGATAATTTTTTAGAAAATATTTTTGTAGAAACAGGGTATTACCATGTTGCCCAGGCTGGTGTCAAACTACTGACCTCAAGTGACCCTCCCACCTCAGCTTCCCAAAGTGCTGGGATTAAAGGTGTGAGCCATTGCACCAGGCCTCTATGGACTATTGTTTACCAAATACATTTTTGCATATTCCTATCTTCCTTCACTTTATCTTCCTAAAATGGCTTCTTTACCTATTCATATGTTGCTGTGTAGAACAATCAAGCTCAACAGGATCACCTCTTAACCCTTTTCTTGCTGTCCCTAGTCAAACTTGTTCCTTCTGCTTTCTGGAGCATGCTGTTTATGTCTCTGTTTTACACTTGCCAGCTGCTCTGTACTCTAGAAGTAGTCCTGTCTTTCTTTATCTCCCTTGTATACTGTGAACAAATCGAGAGCATGGATGATGACTTGTTCCTCTTTCTATGGCGACAGCCTAGCAAGTGGAGTGGCAAGAGGAAAGTACCCATCCCTGGGAAATGAAAATATTTCTTTTTTTTTTTTTTTTTTTTTTTGAGATAGGGTCTCACACCCAATCCAGGCTGGAATGCAATGGCACAATCAAGGCTCACTGCAGCCTTGACTTCCTGGGCTCAAGCAATCCTCCCACCTTAGCTACTGTAGTAGCTAAGACTATAGTCATGGGCCATCATGCCTGGCTAAATTTTTTTTTTTTTTTTTGAGATGGAGTTTTGCTCTTGTTGCCCAGGCTGGAGTGCAATAGTGTGATCTCTGCTCACCACAACCTCCGCTTCCTGGGTTCAAGTGACTCCTGCCCCAGCCTCAGGAGTAGCTGGGATTACAGGCATGTGCCACCATGCCTGGCTAATTTTGTATTTTTAGTAGAGATGGGGTTTCTCTTTGTTGGTCAGGCTGGTCTTGAACTCCCGAACTCAGGAGGTCGCCCTGGCCTCCCAAAATGCCAGGACAGGCATGAGCTACCTCGCCCGGCCCCACCCAGCTAATTCTGTTAGCTTTTTGTAGAGGTGTGGTCTCCCTATGTTGTCCAGCCTGGTGTCAAAGTCCTGGACTCAAGCTATCCTTCCTCCTTGGCCTCCCAAAGTCTTGGGGTTACAGGTGTGAACTACCACCCCAAGGGAAAATTTTTCTAGTGTCTTAAGGGAATAGGGCAATTTCAAGCCATTTCTTGAAGTAGTTCACATCCTTTAATTACAGACATTCACCTTACCATGGCCAGGTGTGGTGGCTCATGCCTGTAGGGAGGCCCAAAGCAAGAGAATCCCTTCAGTCCAGGAGTTGGAGAACAGCCTGGGCAATATAGTGAGACGCTGTCTCATCTGTCTTCTAGACACATATAAAAGACATTCACCTGATCTGAGGAGCTCAGAGACCTTGTAAACTGCTCTAGCTAGAAGTTGGTAACTTGTGAGACAGGGAAGTTAAGAGTCTAAAGTAACGTTATCAAACTCAAAAATTGGATTCAGCCATTAATGACATTTCTTCTGTGCAAGCCCTCTAGCTATTAGAATCTATGAAAGGGAAATTTTATTCGTAAGTCTAGAACACCTGTGCTCCTTTAACAGGTACCAAAATATTTGATGAATGACACAGTATTTTGAATTTGTAGGTGTCTGGGTTTTCTTTTGCAGACTACACCTATTAATGTTACCTGGCCCTGTCTTGGGATCTACATGTATGTAGTCTTGCCACCACTGGTCAGTTGGCATGTGGTTTTCCGAACTTCAGTCGCCTGAGACAGCTCTGTAATTACTTGCTAATTAGCTGAGTCGAACGATTCCGGACACATGGTTGCTTCGCCTTCATCGATCATTCAGCATTGGTTCCGTGCCAGCAGGATATCCGGCTGCTTGGTCACCAGCACTGAGCAAGCTGGCACCAGGATCGTGGCCTCAAGTCAACGTCCCGCTGAGGGAATCCGGCGACATTAGCCTGCGGGGAGAAAGGGCTGAAGGTGGACTGGGGAGACACCCCGCGTCCCGCCAGGCGAGCGTCGAGACGCCTGCTGATGGGTATTACCCGGGACCTCGCAGCGGCCGCTAGCCGAGCCTCAGCGCCAAGCCGCCGCCGGATGCGCTCAGGGCGAACCCGCGCTGCCCGGCCCGGCCCCTCAGGGAGCCCGGTGGGGGTGGGGTGGGGCGGGGCGCGGCGCGCGCGCGGAGGCCGCGGGCGGTGGCGGGGCGCGCGCGGCGAGGCAGGGGCGCGCGGGGCGGGGGCGCGCGGCGGCCGCAGCGGCCTGTGGCGCCGTCACCCGGCAGACTCCGGAGGGTCGAGCACGGTGCCGGTGCCGCTGCCGCTGGCCAGGCGCGCGGGGACGTTTCGCGGGCTGCGCCGGTGGCGGCCCGCCTTCCCGGGGGTCCAGTTATCATGTCGCTGAGGCAGCGCCTGGCCCAACTGGCTGGCCGTCTGCAGGACCCGCAGAAAGTGGCCCGTTTCCAGCGGCTGTGCGGGGTGGAAGCACCGCCGCGACGCTCAGCGGACCCGAGGGAGGATGAGAAGGCGGAGGCGCCCCTCGCCGGAGACCCTTGTCTGCGAGGGCGGCAGCCAGGGGCGCCCGGAGGCCCCCAGCCACCCGGGAGCGACCGCAATCAGTGCCCGGCCAAGCCGGACGGCGGCGGCGCCCCCAACGGAGTGCGGAACGGGCTGGCGGCCGAGCTGGGCCCGGCCTCGCCGCGGCGCGCTGGCGCCTTGCGCCGCAACTCGCTGACCGGCGAGGAGGGCCAGCTGGCCCGCGTGAGCAACTGGCCTCTCTACTACCTGTTCTGCTTCGGCGCGGAGCTGGGCAACGAACTCTTCTACATCCTGTTCTTCCCCTTCTGGATCTGGAACCTGGACCCCCTGGTGGGCCGGAGGCTCGTGGTCATCTGGGTGCTGGTCATGTACCTGGGCCAGTGCACCAAGGACATCATACGCTGGCCGCGGCCCGCCTCGCCGCCGGTGGTCAAGTTGGAGGTCTTCTACAACTCCGAGTACAGCATGCCCTCCACCCATGCCATGTCCGGCACCGCCATCCCCATTTCTATGGTCCTTCTCACCTATGGCCGCTGGCAGGTAAGGGTTCCCGCTCCTCGTTCTGCTCAGCCTCGGGGGAGCTCAGAGAACTCGGAGTTCTCTTGGCTCTATACATTTATTTTAATTCGGCCGTTCCCCTCCAGAGCCTCTCTTTCCACAGGTTTTCACAGTACCCGCAAACAGGCCCTTTCTGGGTTTTGAAAAATTAGGTGATTGGGGGAAACTAGAGACTTAGCCGTTGAATTCTATTTTAATATTAAATTCCAAATTAATACCTTTCTTGTAACCCAAAGGACACACGTTTCCTAGAGTAATACATTGTCATTAGGCTTTGGTTGAATTTTTAAACGGCTTTAATTCTTGTGATGCACAGTGGAAGTGAGTTTTTTTAAAATAATTAATTGCTACGTAACTAACACCCACTTTCACCGTAATATATGGTGCCTCCTCTAAAACCGATTGTTTCAGAGAGGTAAAGTCGTTAGCTTTACTGTGAGACAGTGTTTACAAAACCTTAGTGTAATCCCAAAACAAACATGCTAGTTCCAAGCAATGAAGTTATCGATTTTCAGCGAAATCCCCTTTATGGAAGTTAATGGAGCACTGTGTGAGTTCTGTTTTTAAGGGGTGTGGTTGCCACTTTGCTGATAAATACAAAGTTTAATTATCTGCTGGATCACTGATCTGTAGTATCTGTCCGTTGTTGAACTGCAGCTGTAATACTACAGTGTTATTGCCTCATTAACTAAAAATACATGACTTAAAAGTTATTCTTAAAGATAGGGCTCTTGATCAGACTAGTGGGTTTATAAATATGGCAAATATGACAGCAGGGTCAGCCTGGCAATCAGGAAGACTTTTGTCTTTTTGGTTTTTTAACCCTATCTGAAACCTCCCAAGGGAAGAGTTTTTAATGGTAATCGTTTTGATTTTGCTTACACTTTTGGCCTTCTATTGCGTATCTGTCTTTTAAACTGTAAGATTTGTTAATCCTGCAGACCAGTATCTTATTTTAAGAATAAAGTGTGT